ACTCGAGCGACATTGCCGCATAATTTCCACGGGTCGAGGAGTTCTCGGAGACCTCGACAACTTCTTTTTTGTTTCACCGGTGGAATTAAGGGGAAGACAAATGCGCGTTCGATTTTACGCTAGTCCGACCCGTAAAGTTTCTCAGGATAGAAGATAAATCGGTAGAATCGAGTTTCGTACGGCTAGCGTTTCCCGGCGTCGATACAAGGCGGAAGGCACGAATGGCAACCCTTTCAGGAAAAAGAATCGCCAACGGAGCCTTATCGGCGGGCGGCGAGCGGAAAGTGGCTCTTAAGGAGCCTACAGAACAGAGAAGTCGTACACTTCCATTGATCGTAAGCCGTAAGTGGAGCCTCGGGCAAGAACGATCGTCACTATGTATTGGTTTTCCCGCGAACAACCTGGCTCGATCCGTCGACATCGCGATTTTACAAGCTCGACAGAAATTACATATCCGGAGTGACGCGTGATTCGTCACCGTAGAGTTAGACCGCTACCGGTAAGGATTTAGGTCCCAATGACGAGAAAGAGGAAACGGAGAACGCGCGCGTGGAAAAGGGAGACGGTGAACCGGTCATCAAAGAGAGGCCAAGACGCGTTCCACCTCGAAGGAGCGATGAACGGCTCGTTGGCGAACACTCGGTCCATCGTCGAGAGGTCCATAATGCACGGTAACACTCTCTTCAGAAAGGCCGAGCGCCTTATTCACGTGGAGCCTCCATGAAAGCTCATAATATCCAGTCGCGACAAGAGCGCTTGCGCTTGCGCGCGCGATCACGAGAAGTCCAGACTCGCTCTCTCGCTTCTCTTCCGCGGCCATAATTACGAGACGTTAATTACGCAATGAATGCACCCGCGGCATAGGAGAGCCGCGTCACTCGAGAGCGGTGAGCTTTCAAGGGTAACGCACCAGCCACTCAGGTACACCAGATGGTGTCGATTCGTTCGAGTTCGCACTTTTATCCTCGCGCAAGTGTTATTCCGCCTCGCGTTCGAGTGCAACAAGAAGAACTGCATCTGCCTAATCGCCCGTGACGGGAGCAAACTCGTCAATTTCGAGCTACGGTATCAACGGTCCGTGGTTCGCTTCTTTCCCGTATCCGTCGATACTTGATTCCGGAGAAAGGACAACAAACTCCCATAAAACGACGCTAACAACGGGCATTGAGATATCGCGACGCCACTTGATGCTCAACGCGGCGAGATAGCGACACGGCTGTAACAATGATTACGCGCATCTATCCGCTAGGCTTCCACGGCTTCTTAATTAGCAACGAGCCTATCCTCGGGTACTTTTTTTCCCCCCGAAACCGCGAATCGATGATTCGCAAAGTAGCTAGAGGTCGACGGCCTGGCAGCTCGCACAGATTCGAAGGAAGAAATTCCTCTCGACGACGCTCGATCGAGCACCACCCAATATTCCGCGATGCCTATGCCTTCGCCTTCGGCTAACTCTAGAATTTACGGTATTTCTCTTTCGCCTGTTTTCTCATTCCCGACGACTATTTCGCTCTAGTTACCGCTTTCCATCAACCGGATGCGCTTGCCTATACCGTTCGCAAAACTCTCTTCCGCAACGCGGTAACATCGAGCCGAGTATTTAATCGAACGAAGGGAGCACGGCTGACGTACATACACGGAGAGAGGCAGAGAAACCGTGGCTAGAAATCGAAATTAATCTCGACAGCCGAACGAGCAACGGCGTGTAGTTCGAGGCGAAGTTATCGATAGCAACGGATGAATTTAATGACGCGAGAGAAGCGTACGTGACTCGATAATTACAGCCGTTGCTGAATAATCGTGGGATTCGAGCGAGCCAAGGATTTGGAATCGAATTAACGGTCACCGATGAGTTTCGCCGGCGCGGCGTCAACATGACGTGCCAAATCGCGCGTTTCTGCGGTCCATCTCGCTTTTCAAAATTTCCTCTGCTACTTTATCGAAATTTAGGTAGTAAGGAGTAACGAAAAACTGTTTGTTCTGTAGAAACGGTATGATACGATATAATAAATAATAACACAAATGGTGGAGAACATCGCGGTTCAAATTTTGTACCGAGGAGATCCGGAAGGAACGTCGACCTTGCAAATTTATTACCGATGCATGATTTATCGGGCAAATCGGCAATTAAATAGCAGTTTATATTAAGCCAGCCTGCGAAATCCATAAAGGGTTATTACCGCTGGAGATAAACCAACGGGAGGGAGCCCAGGGATACGTCTACAAACGCATAGGACGAACCATCGCTCGCAATTAAATTAAGCCAAATTACGCGCAGGAAAATGAATAATTATCGGGTCTGGAGATACGAGAGACATCGACCGTCTACCCTCCGTGCAATACTATATCGCACAATAACTTCCGCACGCGAAATTGAACGGGCCAACCTAAAATTATTCTACTCTCTGATTCCTGCCCTGCCTTTCTGTGGCTATTGTGACGGACATTGAATAGAGCCCGGAGAAAATTTAGATATGTTACGAGGGAATCCATATCCACGAACCTGTTATATTCGAAAAGTTACACAATGAACGTACTCCGTATCGCGTCTTCGATATGGGTCCACTGTATCGGAATCACTGCGCCCTAGTCGAGTCTGTTCCCATGTCTGTCGCTCACAATTTTAGCCGTCGAGTCCGTCCACATCTAAATAGATAAATGAAAAGAGTATAGCCAAGATTTTATCGAAATCTTTTCTCCGGATCGTGCGCAGTTAAGTATTACCGGTGGTGCCGAGGTGAATACGAAACTCGGGACAAAAGTCTGTTCGGAAGGAAACCTCCATTTATACCAGATGCCATTCGAAAGAGACAAACTGCTAGAAGCAAGAGCATGAAAACGCATACGCGCACCTACCCACGACTCCAAGTTTTACGAGCGTCCGTGAACCCCAACGGGAAGCTTTGTGGATAGGTCACGAACATCGGTGGAGCGGCGCACGGATCGTGAACCCGAGACAGGTCGACAGCTGTAGCGACGATCGTAACACCATATCGAATCTCGGAGGGGTAAAAGTGACACGGCTAGCGAGAAGTTGCTCTCGTCGTCGCGCACTGCTTTCTACACGGGAAAATCAGCGTGCGTTTAGCTTGCTTGTAACGACCAATCGGCTGGCCGAGACAGGGTCGAAATATCCTGTACCAAATGGCTCGAACCAACGCCATCGCTTAGCCGACCATCGATAAACCCCATGAGCCAAAGTCAATAGCTAATATTGCCCGTTTAGATCGAGCTGGACGAGCCCAGAGAATGCTTCTCGTTCAAAATGAAACTCCCTGCCACCCTCCTCGTCGTCTAATTCTCCGTCCCTCTCTAGCGATCTTCCCTCTACTCGTCTACCTGCTCCGCCGAATGTTATTCGATCGTTGGTCTCTCTTTCGCTATTAGAACGCGTCACCGAGCTCCCTCTCGGCCACGGTAATTATTTATAAACACCTGTGCCATTGACGCGACCGAACTAATATTGTTTTACACGTAATGGAGTTCGAGCGCGGACAGGACGAAAGAACACCCCCGTCTCTCTGCGTTTGGTTCAACGATCGCGCATTCGCCCTTCAAACTTACAATTAACTATTTATGCGACCAACAGTTCAATTATAGTCGTATTAAAGTTCCTTAATTTGACGAAACAGTAAACTATTTCAAAGCGAAATCACATCGTGTTATTTCCCTCGGAAACTCCGTTGGGAGCTCGGTTTGCAGAAAAGGACGTAAAAATTCTAATTCCAGGACGCGTCTGGCCGGTCCTCTTTGAAAATATGCACTTTGTCTGGACGCGAAGGCGCGAAGAGGGAATTCTGTTTTTCTTGCCCTCTCATCTCTCATGCACTTATCTCTCGACGGGCTGGAGGAAGCGACTACAAGACGAGTCGTCTCCGTTTCGTCTCGAGCCTCCTCCCATCGGTGAAATACACACGTGCGTACATACACACAGGCGCGTTCTTAGATAAATTGTTACCCGAATTGGCATTTCAATTATACCGTTTTTTGGTACTTGTACTTCTCATCGCACGAGCCAAGAAATTAAACGCCGTTCTATACGAATTTAAAACGCTACATTTTTCAAAACTTTCCAACCATCTTTTTATTCTTTCTAAATGTCCACCTAGACAGAATCTCGCGCACCCATAGACGGGGCTCTCTCGCTCGTTACTTTCGAGAAAGAAGTCTCACGAAAACGAGCTGAGACAGCCAATTGGGACTAAGAGGTGGCACCTCGTTGAAATTAGAGTAAGATTTTTCCTTGGGGAGGAGAGAGTTCGCGTACACCATCGTCAACTTGCTTAACGACCGGATTTCCCTCGCGGTGTTTTTGTTCGTTTACAGTTCCCAGCCGTTCGCTTTATTGTCTCTGTCATCGAATAATTACATACTCGGATATTAATCGCCGCCCTACTGGTATTGTTCTCGATGTATCTCTCTGTAAAAATCGCGTTCGAGATATGGAACAACCGCGGAGAGACCGACGAGGGGACAGAGAGTGCGGCCGCACGGGAGCGCGACAATAGCGGAAATAGCTACTGATTCGAAATCCCTTGCGCACTCCACATTAATTCTCGCTACTCAGCGGTTCCCTCCTGAGAAGGAAAAACGACGACCGATCGAAGGGCAGAGGGGACACAGAAGAACAGAGAAACAGATACGGTGAATGAGGAAAGACGAGTGTGGAAGATAACGTACGAGAACGAACCAACGGATGCACCACTCACGATACACTTACCGACTGGCTGCACTTTCAAAGACATCATCGAGTGTCTGCTCGATTCTTTCGTAGAACGAGCCGACGTCGACGCCGACGCCGACGCAACAGTTGAAATACTTTCTACGATACTTTTAATTGATTTACTTCCGCTTGGCGGTGTTTCGAGTTTCGATTCGGTCCATATTTAATCATCGTTTCGACTGTTGTTACCAAATGGTCCTCGCGGGGTTGTGGTTTTAAAAGTGCATCGAAAAAACACGTCGTTTAAAATTTGAAAAATAAAATAAAATATTGCACGAACTCCCTTCGTCAAAAATGTATTAATTTTTGTCAATAGAAATCTAACGATATCTATATCGTTTCGCGTTATTCACTTCTTCGATGCGTTTTTCGGAGTTCGGTAAGTGGTTATATAATATTATCGCGAATAATATCGGTTTGATAAACAAATGAGGTAATCGGTCGATGATCGATAGATCGAAGAGTTACTCACCAGCCGCTGATAACGATGCAGCTATTCGTTGAGAAGAAACGTCGCTGATCGATGCATCATCGTTGTCAGTAACGAAGCAACCGTCGTTTGACGTTCGATGCACCTATTCGCTTGCACTTCGCCGTCACACTGTAATCACTACCGTCAAATTCCTGTTGCGCCCTGTTTGTTCATCATTGCCGCGCGAAACCGACAGAGGATCGTCGAAATACCAAACGCTCGTTAATATTTCCCGCAGATTACTCCCTTCTATCGGGTTGGCCCTTTGCCGTGGCACGGAACGACGATATAACCGGTTCCACCGGCGTATTCTCGAATTCGCGATCGTCGATTCCACGAAATTCCTTCGGCCCCGACTTTCTACTCGGCGACAATTTTCGACACGGCCAACTATTCGAGGAGGACGTTCGCCGTGACACTCGCGGTATTATTCACTCGCCACGATTGCACGCGCCCGAAATAACGTAACTCGACTTTCGGTGCAACGTGCTACGTAAAACACGTGGGCAAAGCCGGCCCCGGAACACGACGGCCTACGATATATTTCACCACCGAATATTCGCGGGCGATTTCTCGGAAGGTATTAATTCACCGATACGCCGAACCGTATACTGGAACGTCCTTCGTTGGAATCCGCGCACGATACTTCTCCGGCTTATTTTACCCCTCACTTGCGGCAAAAACCAATCGCGATGACGATGTTTACAGAATTTCAGTAACTGTTCGAACATTACGACTTTACAAATTCGTCAATGACGAGACAATTAGTTAACTAACCTCGCAACGCGATTGCCGCGCTCCCAAGGGTCGGGAAGTTTGTCGTTTATCGGCCGGTCGCAATCACAGCTGATAATTTTACGTCGCTGCAGTTGCACTCGTATTCGAGTCGTCGTTTACGTTGGCAGGCATCGACTTCGTTACTTACGATCGTCTAGGTTCTGCGACAATTTTAGACGAATTTCGGAGTCACCGGTGGAAAAAAGCTAGCAACTGCTTTCGTGTAGTGTCCCACCTAAACACTAATCGTGGCTGGCACGATTGAACATCGATGATCGGATGAGAATATGTACGTTGTTTGTGGTGTAGCCATCGAACGACTACTCTCGTAAATCATTCTTCGTGCCATCGTCGCTGTAGAGAGTTTCGGAGGGAACGATCAACGAATCGGAACTAATTACACACGTAATCGTAGCGGCGGTGTATTGGTCGTGATGACGGTCGCGAAGCACGTTGCACAGTGCCGCGATAATCGAGATTTCGCGGGCTCCTCCTGCGGCGTTGGAAGAGCGCGAATGCACACGAGATGCGCGCGTCCCGGCGTCTGCGCGTGCACTGCCCGCGCGGTTCCCGTTTCGTTGCCCCCCCACTCAGACCTCTTCGTCTTCTTCTGTAGACGCAAACGTGCACAGGACCCCATGTCCCTTTCTCGATCCTTGTTTCTCTCAGGCTTGCTTCCTCCCTTCCAACCGAGGCCGAGGGTTCGTCCTTGTATTGGTTCTCTCTGGCTCCAAATTGCCCAGTGCTCACCGAGTCGAGTTGATTTTCCGAATTCATCCGCGCGACTCGTTCACCTTAATCAGAATTTTGAAATCGTTACGCCGTCGCAACAGTACATGTACCTGGATATCGTCCTTGGGGACGATGACGTTTGTAAGTACAGAACGAGAGAGGTTTCGTTCTTTTGCCTCGCTCATTATTAGCTTGATTACAACGGCGACCCGGTGGAATTGCGCGACAGTTGGGTATTTTCTCCACGACTCGCGTTCATCGAGGCATCTCGATTGTAATTTTTCCGCTTATTAAAAGCCCCGCGCAGCCCTTCTTGCGTAGATCGTGTGCACGAGTGCATAAATGTGTATTGAATTTAAAACGGAGTACGTTTGAATTGCGTTGCCGATGAAACGTTCTGTTAAAGAACACGTGATAAACGAAATGCCATAGACGAACGGAATGTTCGCGAGTATTATTATAAAATCAGTGGAATCGAATCTATCCGAATGTCACGTTTCATCGGTATACTTCCGCGTTAATATTAATTACCTTATTTCGATACCCTGACAGACTACCCTCGGAGTCCCTCTCTTAATGCCGTCGGCTCTTCGTCTCTTGTGTAACCCAACCCAGACAACTCGACACGCGTTCTTACACGTACATTCCTGCATAAAAGCGAATGCGTGTGCGATACGAGGCTTGAGCGTCGTCAAGCGTGTAACGCAACTCCAAACGTGCATCTTCTCGTTGCAACCCCTTCCACGAATCCGATGTTAATTTCTATATCAGTTACGACTTTACTTTAATTTATGCTTTAATTTGAGGATTGCGATTATATTAATTGAAACACATCATATTCGATTTTCGTCTTCGTTTGAGGAGTGTCTGGTATATATGTATTTTCTTATGATCCAGGGATGAAAACCTTGGGTACGACACATCTCCATCTTCGTAAGAGCGGTGCGAACGAGACTTTAAGGAGTCAACGATTCGCGATACGCGTATATATTATATACGATACACGATCGAGGAGTACGAGAGTAGCTCGGATGTACAACCAAAGTATGTATACATATATCGAGTATCGAACGTGCCTTCGGGGGATACTACATGGGCGAGCAAGAGAAAGAGGGAACCGGCGAAGTAGAAAGAACAGATAGACGAAGGAGAACCGAGAAGAAAACGATTGAGATTGAATTATGGCTCGCGGCTTAAACGCCGGATTCAAATCGATCCCATATATCACATTACCTGGCACCTTTATTCTGCTTTCTATGGCCACGTCTCACCCCTCCCTGCTCCCCCTGGCTATTGTTTTACCCTCTGTCTTTTTCTCCCACTGACAACGAGTGCGTGCAACATTGTACGTCGGGTACACGATCAGCTGGTACAGCGATCTCATTTTCTGCCCACGCAATCGATTTTCGGACGATCCACGCCCTCGACTCATCGATGTTAAACGAGCGCGCAAAGAAATGTTTCGCGATTCACGATCATGCATACGTAAATATGCCTGGCTTTCATATTTATTTCGAAACTATTAAACTCTCGCGAACCCTGTGACCATCTACGAATGAGAGAAACGCTTTTAGCGTAGCCAGCTTAATGCAAAAACTTCGGTGCATCGATACGCGACCGAGAAGTTACGCCGTCGACAAAGTAAGAAAGTAATTGAAAATTTTCTGTACGGCTAACGAACAGACGACGCCACTTTATGTTACCGTCGTACTTCCCACCGTTCGCGCCAGAGGCCCAAAGGGTGTAAACAACGAGAACTCCGGTATTACATTGCCTCCCGCCACCTTTTACACGAGCTTACGATAATTTTCACGTGTTTACGGCCGGCAGAGTATCGTGGCGTTTTTTCTTCACCGCAATGTAAAAAGCCATAGTCGGAGTGGTGTTGAGCTACATAGAACCGGCTAAAGGATACGGGATTGTTAAAAACAGGATGGGTATATTTCTTAAATTTATCGTCACTTAAACAAAAACGACCATTTCTCGCGAATTCACTCGTAAGACTCGAGCGAACCGCAACGATGATTCTTCGATCTTTCGTCGTACCTGTATCAAACGTTTCCTCCTTGACGCGTGGTTTGCGTGCACGACACATTCGCGCGTTCGTGCATCGAGTCACGGCACGTTTAAACAAGTTTCGTTACGGGGAATTGTCCAGTCGTCATCCTCTACCTTTGCCGTTCCGTGGCCTGAACGAAACTCTGTGCCCACGAAGCTAAGGACGAAACTGTCTCTTACAGCTCAGACAGAAAATCTAAACGAATTTCTAAACTCGAATAGAAAACTAAATATTCCCTAGTCACGCGTTCGCGATAAAGGCTGTTTCTGAAGAGCGTGCACGGGAAGAAGTCTGAAAGACGAACGGTTCAATCCTCGCGAGTAAGTCGAGCTTCTTTCTCGCAAAAATTATGTGCCACTTGGTTCTCCCGGCATTCCGCATAATAAACGCGGCGAACCCGCTCCGCTGTATCACGATTTCTTGGTATTTTTACGCGCGCGACGTCGCGGCGCGGCGCGTCGAGGAGACTGCGGGTTGAAACGAATGCCAGTGCCGTGCACCTTTCAGCCTGTCATTAATGACGATAATTTCCATTCTCCCGTTCAAAACTCGGCCTAATTGACGCAGATATCGACACAAATCCGTGTATAATAATTTCCAATTTCAAGAAGAAAATGACTTTCTATTGGAAAAAAAAAAATTGGACTTTGGAATTAGAGAATTGCTGGTCTTTGTATTTTTCCTTCTTTAAACTGTCGATTCTATTGCGAACGTTGGCACACTCTACTCCTAGCGAACAACAATTATTTGAGGTATATACAACGAAGAAAATCTGTCGGCAAAATTTTTTGTCCCGAGCGGAATAATGGCGCGAAAGAAGAAAATGTGGCGAGAATATACGACTGGCTGGGCATCGCGACGCATTATTGAAGGTGCAAACGATACGTCGGAGGCGTCCGCCGACGCAATTCCCTGGAAAAGAAGAAAGCGTTCCGCGTTGTTTTTCGCGACGACGCGACGTCTGAAAGAGAGCGTCGTCCACGAAACGCGAACTCCTTCGCCGCGAACAAGGGCGGTATTGTGAAACTAGCAAAGTCGTCGTCGGCATACATGCATTCGCATTCGTTGGAAAAAACCGCGTTGCCTTTTAACGCCAACATTCAGCTCCGTCCGAGCGACCTGCGGTTTACTCAAAACTTTCTAAAGTGAAATGGCAGCTGTAAAGCGAAAGAAAAAAAAAAAAAAAAAATAAAACTCATCTCCTTGGAGACCGGATGTTCTCTCGCGCAATGTCCCGCGTCTAGATTCGTTCGATGCCGTAACGAGATAGAGCTATCCCTCCTAATCTCGTCCCGATGAAGCCAGCAATGTCGCCCCGTAAAATCGAATAGAGTTCGTTTTCAGAATTTCCATAACGCTCCACGGGGTTATGTGTTCACGGGGTCGTGTAAGCTCGATCAACCTAGTATAGGTAGGCATAAGTCGGAGTATTACGTAAGAGCAGCACAAAGCTGCCAGATGAGGGTGGAAAGGGGTAAGGGTGGCACAGGTCGCCTTTGTTTGGTTGGAGTGCATGCGTTTCACTGGTAGGAGCGGTAGCGGTAGTAGCAGGAGTGAGAGTCAGGGTGGCTGGATCTATACGTGTGCCTGCCTCACCGAGCCATATCGTCCATGCACCCCGTGACGCACCCCAGGCGAAAAGCAGGGGGTTCAAGTGTACGTATATATACGTATACGGGCGCGTTTAATAAGAATACGCGCCAGAGCAGACAGTCGGTGCGACGGTGCAGCGCTAACATTTTATTTATCAGTGCTGATGGCTTTTCCGTTCTTGCAAGGGTCGTCGTTTTTCTTTCGTTTTTCTCCTTTCTCGCGAAACCTGAAAGAAAGATCCCCTCGCGCCTCGCACGATCGAGAACGCAGTATGACGTTTCTTGCGCCTCCTGCCATACGTATCTCGCGTACGAGCGATTGCGATTCAGCTACGTTCGCGTGTCTAAAACATCTTAATTGGTGATTCTTAACCATTGTACCGTGGCATGCCATTGTACATCGTTCGCGACGACGATTGTACCGAGTCGTTAATGTTTCGCAACAACTCGACGAATTTTCATTACTTTTCTACGTGTTTGACGTTGTTTGCGGAACGTGAGCCGCAATTTCGAGAATCTAATGTCAAGCGAAACTACAAGGTACGGTCGCAAGTTTTTCAGAAAAGTAGCAAAGGTTAGCGTTGACGTTTCGCTTACGAAAGGAAGTTCAGTGCGCCGCGCGACGCTATCGCGATCTTCCAGCAATCATGTCAGGACGACACATAAGGCAACAGTCATCCACTGATATTTTCTACTCTCGTGATATGCCCACCACTGTGCTCGGAGAACGGTGAAAAATATTGTCAAGGCGGCGTTGAAATATTACACCGTGTCAGACCGCAAGAATTGCTGCGCCGTCGACGATAATCTACCGCTGGCCGCGTGCGCGGACGACAATTCGTATTACTCGCGCGAGGGAAATACGAGCAGGATGACAATAAAGTCCAGAACAGGTGGAATGCTTCTCCATGTTAAAGGAAATGATTATCGTTGAAATTTAAGTCGAAGCGTCGAGGGACCCGCCATCACCGGTCGAGGATCGGATCGACCGCGGTGGTCAACGTTGCTAATTAGAAAAAATAGAGTTCATTTCGACGATGAACGAACGATAGGACTAACCAAGCGACCGATATTTTAATTTAGTC